GTAGTTGATAAAGGAAAAGAATGCAAGTTAGTGGGATACACTGATTCGAGTTGGTGTAGTGATGCTGAAGATCGAAAGTCAACAGCAGGATATGTGTTTATGCTAGGTGGTGCACCAGTTGCTTGGAATTCAAGAAAGGAACCAGTAGTGGCATTATCATCATGCGAAGCAGAATACATAGCCGCTTCTCTTTGTGCATGTCAAGCAACTTGGATGGTGAACTTGGTCGAAGAGATAACAGGGAAAAATCATGGAGCAATTACCATGAAGATTGACAACATGTCAGCTATCAATCTGACGAAGAACCCAATAGAATATGGTCGAAGTAAGCACATCGAAATTAGGTTCCATTATCTTCGAGAGCAGGTAGCAGATGGGAAGATGAATTTGGAACACTGTAGAACTGAGAATCAGATTGCAGACATCATGACAAAGGGAGTGCAAGTCGAAGTATTCAGAAATCTAAGAGCCATGATGAACATAGATAGTTTAAACACAATGAATTAGGTGGTGTGTTAAATTGTAATCCAATGTGTCGAAACTATGTGTCGAAAAGATTTGATTTGTTTTAGATTTAAATAGATTTGATTTAAGTCTAGAATAAATTAGTTTTGATTTAGTAACAAAAAGATATTTTGGGCTTTGGGCTTAGGGTGTAAGCTAAGTTATAAATAGAAGGAGTAACCCCTATTTTTGTAAGCAAGTCAATCAAGTCATTCATAGTATTTTGCAGTTGCAAAGTGAATAAGAAAGTTTTCACAGTTTGTGAGCAGAGAGAAACTTTGCAGAAATTATTTGTCTTGTCTTCTTTTCTTTGTTTTTCTCATAACTAATCGTCATTGTGGTAGAAATTCATCATAGTCTTTTGGTGGATTTCCAACAATAAAACAGAGGTTTTATAGCAATAGTTTGTTTCATAAGAACACACTGCATTTCATATCAGTGTTACTTAGACAATATCTTCAATACGTTAGATAGCATATCATTCACACTACTTTCTTTATGCCTCACGTTACTGTCATACTATATAACTATAAAACAGTCTGTTGAACTCATGTTGTTACTTTTGCTATTATAACATCAATTATCTAGATATACTACTGCACAATGATTACCATATCAAAATCCATATAACCAAACTTTAAATATTTCATAATACATAATATTTATTAAATACTTGACTGTAATCAAGTCAGATGTTCAAACCGTACAAATATAAAGACACCTAGTAAACATAAACAAAATAAGCACACAACCGATCCTTCTTTTCCATTATATATCCAACACAATCTGTTTCACTGTCTCTTCTTTCCCGGCTCAACATATACCAGTATTTCATCGACTGGCGAATATCGAATGCAAAAATACATGATGTCTCCTTTCTTTAATTCTTCCTGTTTAGCAAATTCATACCAACCAGTTGTGAGATACTTCTCACCTTCATCATTATTCCTCACTTTCACTACACAATTCTCTGAGATACCCTTCTCCAAAAAATATAACTCAATCGAGCTGACCGGTCCACTAAGGGGCAAACTTCAGTTTCATGAATTCATCATAGTTCATATATGATGGTTCAACTGCTTTAGTAGTTTTAACTTGCAGCATATCTTGAAGGAAGCTTCTTCAAGAAAGAAAAACAAGTTAGATGACTAATGTTGGTTAATTAGATTAGCGCGACATTTTCCAACAAAACTATCACAAGCGTGTATTCAAGATTTAAATGACAGCATGTAAAACCATACCTTGACTGATCCCAAATGATCATTGCATTTGTCTGCCGACAAAACGGGTCGCATTCGCTCTCATACTTGTTTCCAATGAATAGTGTGACGTTGTTTGTATCAGGACCAATCTCTTATTCTTAAGCTTTTTAAGAGATTCAAATTTCCATCATTTTCAAGACTCGTGTATCTGCAATATTACAACATATAATCATTAAGGTTTCACTTTGCAACCCGAGAATAACCAAACAAATGCAATAGAAAGAAATACTTGTGTCGAAACAGGAAGTCAATGATCACGATAGTGCAATTTGATTTGAAAAACTGTCGTCTTCCAGTTCAATTAACCAACTAACGTTAGTTACATCAGTAAAAGTTAGATTACGGTAAGCAGATATATATTTCTTCACAAGGCCGTTACATTACACAACTTCAAATCATGTGCTTCATTCCTCATTTCTCTATTCAATTCACTATGCAGTAAGATAATGGTTACCACTAAGTCGCTCTGATCAGCTGACTTTGGATTACACCAATATCACCCGTTAAACACTTAATCCATGAATTTGGAAGATGACAAAGAACTTTTTGCATTTAATCAACTCTTAATTCAACAATTACTGAATCCAAATCATATACATGTTGAAGAATGAAAACTCACTGAGTAACTTACTCAACAAATGAAAAGCTTTGTTTATGTTCTTAAACTCCACTTCATGAGTCACAAATTCATCCAAGTGCAATTCCCGCAGTTAACAAATAGGCCAAAACTAAACACACTGAAATCTCCTAAATCGCTATCTTTGTTTCTTTTTTCTCATAACTTTTTCACTTTATTATTACTTTAATATTAACTATAGCATTATAAATAATACTATATCACAGTACAAAAATATTATCCAAAAATGAAACAAAAGAAATTGATTACCTTGTCCATGTAACGCTTAAGCAGAAGTGGAACATGAGATTTCAATTTGAGTCCTCCATACAAGAACTGAAACTCAACCTAGCTTCTGGCTTGTCCATTCCTACAACAATTGTTTTATCCCAACCCTGGAAAAAAAAGCATCAACTTTTTGGAATTTCAACTTAATTACCACAAACAAAGTGGTTGAGATAAGTGGTTATTACGCTTTGGTTAAACTCAAATAGGTCAGGTACATTTGAGTTCAATATCTGCGTCAAATAATTCTTGAAAGTGAATTACACCTTTCCGCAGGAAGCATATGCTTCATGCACCAATGATGCCATACCAACACATTCAAAGCAATAATCTTCTCCTCCGTCTGTCATCTCCATGATAACCTGCTTAGCAACCAGATTTTGTTAGATGATTACTGAAGACAATTTTCTTATGAAAAAATTTACACGGGTATAAACCTACCTCTTTCTCTAAGAAGAAGAGAAGAATTAGTATCATCAAGACTAGAACCAACGTTCAGAATCGCTCATAGGATTTGGAATAGAAACCGCTCAGTGAAACAATGAATGAATTTTGAAACGGTTTTTAAAATTGGAAGTTGTTAGGAAGAGGAAGAAGAGAGAGAGAGAGAGAGAGAGAGAGAGAGAGAGAGAGAGAGAGAAGAAGAAGAAGATGAAGGGGTAAAAAATTGAAGTCCAGTGAAACAATGAATGATTTTTGAAATGGTTTTTGAAATTGGAAGTTGTTAGAAAGAGGAAGAAGAGAGAGGAAGAAGAAGATGAAGGGATAAAAAATTGAAGTTTACAATATTGTTTTGTAACCGTATCAAAAAGGAATAACAGAATTTAGCCGATTTTGTGTGAAAAGAAAATTGTAAAAATCAAAGAGACTATCCGCATGACTTGGAATTAGAATATAAGAACAAAATAAAGTTTTTAGGTAGAATCACTTTTCTTATATTATATTATAGATTCTTAAAATTAAAATTAGTGTAGTGTATCCCATTATTTGATGGCCATATCTTTGTTTAGTTCTCTATCTCTTCCTTCCACAGCTTGAATTCGGTATAGACTTCATATTTGAGCTTTAAGAAATAAACCGAAAGCTTACAAGAAAAATCATATACTTTGTTGTACGGTTAATGAATGGTATGTGGCAGGTTGAATGTTACAGCTTAATTTTCAGGTATTCTCTTTCATCTAAATTGAAAGAGGATAATTGAACAACCTAGTGACATTTGAGTATTTCCCTCTTTATTAGAAGCCCTTGATGATGCCTCGATCATAATAAACAAACAAGGGTTTCTCAAAAACGAATCTTGTTTCTACTTTTTCACCTTTTCAGCAACTCAACGTCGCCGGAACAGAGCTCTCACTCCGCACCGCCTTGAGCTTCACCTTTTCGTTGGTCCTCGAGTTACCGGTGGTATTGACCACATTAATGGCCCCGGTGCCACTGAGGTATGCTGAGTGTTGTTGCTATTAAGTGTTTTAAGAGTTTTCATTGGCTTCAACTTGATAGCTATCTTTCATATTTCATGTGGCTTTCAAATGTCAGCATTGAAATAATAAAGGCAGGCTCTCCATATGTGTGGCAACTGTACAAGTGGGTCTATTAATTGAAGTATATCGTAAATTAGTTTGTATTTATGCATACAAGTGAGATTTGATTTATATAATGTTCTTTTGTGCTTAGCATCTCAAGTTGGCTAAATCATTGTCTGTTGTTTAAATAAGATGTTGCAATCTTCTCAATTTTGAATATGTTTCGGCGTTACTCTGCCGGTGATCTTTGAGTTGAGGCTTCACTATGACTTAAAGTAGTATGTTTTTGTCCTCTTATTATCTACTGAGAGTGTAAAGATATAGATTTGGCATCTATTAGAAAATGTGTTTAATTTAAAATTTGATGATGTTTATTTGTTTTACAGGATCATCTGGCATTGATGATGGAACTTCTCGAAAAGATGCCTACCAAGGTATGATGAATGATATCTGCTATGGTTAACATTTTATAGTTTGTATCCACCATCAACTTTATATGTTTTCATGTTATTAGATAATCTTTCAAAATTTGACTTCCAATAAAGATCAATTTTCATATCCTCTTTGAGAGTGTATTCAATTTCTCTCTTAATGAGTTTTTCTTAAAAAATCAAAACAATAGGGTATAATTTACTGCATTTCATTCTGAAAATTGGATAATATCCATGTTTCATGTGTTCACCAGCAAAATTTGATCATATGTTTCCTACAGATTAAACTTTGTGGCTGCTATTCCCGATATTTTTTCAATAGACACGGTGACCTGAGGCACATTCGCGACTTGCGATTATGGCCAATTGATAAATTCTGATGGAAAAGTATAATTTCAGTGAACAAGATGCAACAACTGCTCAGTGCCTTAGTCAACCATGGCTCAGTGCAGTTCCCCGCACCATTCAGCCTTTTATTTTTTGTTTACTGAACAGGGATGGGAGGATATTACAGTCAAGCAAGATCAGTCTGATGAGAACCAATCGGGGGATTTACAGTCATGTTTGTCCCATTAAATTGATATGATGTTGATAGTCTTTTAAAAATGTGTTTTGTTACTTAGTGTGATACATTTTTTATAGTCTTTTTGAATTTTGTATTACATGAAAGATTTAGAAAATGCAGGAGCTCAAATTTTCAATTGAATTTGGTATAGTCTCTATTGAAGAATCACTTAAGTCTAAACAATCCAAGTCTTTTTATCTTGATACTCATGTATCAAAAACTTGAACTCTGAGCAGAAGAATTAATATAATTCTCACAGTTCTATACTCGGGGAACAAATCACAATCAAGTGAATCATTTTCAACAACTGATAAATGTCTTACTAGATAAGGTATATTCTGAGTATACAAAGATAAATATATTTTATGAAAAGTGAGATTTTATTTGACATGGATTTCATTTGTAAATTGTAGATAGTTATAAAATATCTTATCAACTGTTTAATGAAGATTTAAAATTGGTTGTATGAAGATACGCAGAAAGCAAGATGTCAGGCACAGTGTTCCAGACAACCTCTCTCGAACTCTTTGCTTATAGTGCAAGATAAATTGAAGTATATATAGTCTTTTTAATATTTATTTATTTTCCTGTTCTATCATTCATATATAAAAGTGTGTTAGTATGTGTATAAATTTGGAAAATATCAATTTTCAGCAAGATTGCTTTTGGTGTTAAAGATGTTCAAGATTTGTATCAATCAAGGATCTCAATCTTTATAATAAGGATTTGATTGATTATGTGTTTTCTTGGAAGATGTGATCTGAATCAAATATAGCAAGATTGGAGTTGTTATATTCAAAAGATTTAGATTTATTCAAGGTTTTATCATTCAAAGATTTTCAATAAACATTATTGAAGATTGATCTTGTGCTTATGAGGTTCCAACTGAATTCATAACGAAACCTTACAAGGCTTTGGAAATGGACTTTTATTCTATATAAGGAGGAAATCTCTTTTGCGAAGACTCAGAACTTCCTAGAAAATATCTATCTATAAGAGAGTTAGTTGAGTTTTATTTTTGTAGTTTGTACACTCTATTCTTGGGCATTAATTCTAAATTAGCCAAATAGATTTTTGAGTTGTATTTTAGTATTATCTTTCATCTTTGTAACTGAATAAATACTTGGGAGACTAATAGAGTGAAAGTTAGATGTGTCTCAGATTTATGGGGAGCCTAGACAAAGTGACTTCAGATAAGACCAATTGTACTTCTGATTATTAGGATTGAGTTCTTTCTATATATAATACCGAATAAAAATCACTGATAGTATTAGGAAAAGAGGCATTGAATTATGAGAGTTCAAATCACACTAATTTGTGATTCTTACTATTAAGATTGAATTTATTTTCATTAGGTTAACGTCATCCATACATAGGTAATTTTGCTTCGAATTGGATTACCATTTCCTCAATTATTTATAATTTTCTTTTTATTTTGTCTACTACTAAATAACATGTCATACCCATTGTCGCTACATTATATCTAACATATTGTCATCCGAAGAACATAATTTCATCTATATCCTCATCATACTTGTAGGATAAACCATTTTTCAATAAAGTATCCAAGAAGTCAAGGTCTTCCTCAATTATAGAATATATCTAACATCATTCAATGTTCGCAAGACACCATCGTTAAAGGAAATTTTAGTTTGTTCTATTCCATGATAGCACATGTTTTATCATCATCCAAGTATCCAGGTATCCAAAATTACATGAATATAATGAACCATTATCGGTGCGGGGTCATGTGGTAAGAAAATCTAGAGTCAAAATTTCACACATTTGTGCACTTGTTGGATGAAACACATGTCATATTTGCTTTATGCAAGAATCATTATTTTGAATCACATTTACAGAACTGAATAGACCCTAATTTTTGTTTAAAATAGTCCCTTTTTCAATGCTCAATTTTTTTCAACTATAACACTCAAATGCTTTGTGATTCCTCTACACTTTGTTTCTTTTGAGAATGATACAAAAGTGTATCAACCATCATATAGAGATTTCTATTGTTATTAACACATGTAATAGTAATCACCAAGTGGTCATAAAATTCTGGTAACAATCGTAACAAGATAATTGTATTATCTTTGTCATAAATCTGTATTCCAAGCCTCACTAGATTGGTGATTATGTTGGTGAAAATATTAAATTATTGATGTCAATCTAGTCCTTCATACATCTTCAAACTATATAGTCATTGATTCACGAACAATTTGTTCATCCACGTCTTTCATATATACTAACTCTCCAATTTTTCCCAAACACCTTTGACATCACTTGGCATGTGATATGATACATTAATTTTCTGAAACACATATCCCTTCTACCTTCCTTCCTGGTTGATGAAATTGGAAAAATGATGAATTCATTCTAGTGGAGAAAATCAAGTACTAGATTAAAAGGGATATATAGGTTGTCTTAGGATATATTTGCAATGCACAAAAATGAGAAAGGTATGGGTTTTAAAAATCTTACTTCTTTCAGTCTTGCTTTAGTTTGCAAACAAGGGTGGCATATTCTCATTGATACCAAAGTCTAATATTGAAACTCTCCAAAGCTCGGTACTTCCCTCACACATATTTTTTTGGCTCATCGATAGGTCATAACACAAATTTGGTATGGCATAGCATATGTAGCGCTAAATTCATATCTACTCTTATCTTATCACTCTTTTGTTCTAAATTCATAATCATATTTGTGTGCTGGCCTTCTTTTGCCTATTACCAAAATGTGGAATTATTTATTAGTCAACACTTTGTTCGATCCAATTATTTTTGGAAAAATTTTCAATACTGCATTTTTCCATTCAGTCATTGCAGATAGAAGAGTTCAGATCATAAAGACTATTTTGTAAGAAGTTCTTATCGACTGATTATCCAGAACTTATTGATACTAGTTTTCTTAGACGATCGGATCAATGGAATCGAATTTCGAAGTGTATAGCACCACTGAAAGTCAAGAACTTATATTAAATACATTTTAATTGATGAAATGTCATAAATTTTTTCTGCTAAAAAAACAATGTTATCAATTATTTTTATATATTTTCTTAAATAATTTCACTACATGTGCTTATATGCTTATAGATAATAAACTCAATTAAATGAAAACAAACAGTTTCATAATTAAATCTTACGTTTAACGTGCTATTATTTGAAAAGTTATGAATACATTCTCTTGATATGTTAATCATGCATATCCTTGTTTTGAATGTTAAAGTAGATTCAGTTCACCTGTTATGATTAAGTTAATAGGGAATATTCTGTAACATATTATTTTTGCTAAATATAAGACTTTGTAGAGTAAATTACGCTAATTAAGAAAATTAATTAAAGTAATAAATTTATAAATTATTTATATAATTTTATATGTTTATTTTTAAGAAAGAGAAATAATTAATATTCAAACTAAAATATTGTAAATTGCAAAAGAAAAGATGCAATATAATTAGAATTATATTTAGAAAAAATAATTAATGTATTTTAAAAATTAAATGAGTCTTATAAAAAAATATAAGAAAAAAAAAATTCAAAAGAGTCTTATAATTAAAAACGGAGATAGTATAAAATATCCAAACAATAAATTTTAAATGTGTGGTAATATTAATGTTAATTCGCCTCTTATGATTAAGTTAATAGAAAGCATTTAAAACATAAATTATTTTAATTAGTATTTTATAAGATAAACACGAAAAAGATTAAGTGGTGAAATGGGAAGGTATATTTGAATGTTATAACTCTTTTTTGAGACAATAATTAAGAGGTAAAGAAAGTTTATTGGTGCAAAAATGTAGATACCAATCAAGTATTTTTCATGGTTGTGTTAATGCAAATAAGAAGGAGAAATAGTATCTTCAAAAGTATTACGGTAAAAGTTGATAATGAATATGTTGCGTATTAAAGTGTTGCAGCTAGATTATCCTTAAAAACGAGATATAACAAACCTTAATGAAAACGACATATAAGAGGATACAAGAGGTGCACCTAATGATTACAAAGGGATGACACAAAGACAAAAAAGAAAAGACAAATCTTGGAAAAATGACAAATAAAATACATATAATGATTGGTCTAAAAATTAAAATTAAATTTGAAAGACGATTACAATTACAAAATGTATCAACACTCCACATCAGTTATATAATTAATTGTGTGAAAATTATAATAATTTAAATAATATTATTTTATCAAAAGAAATAATAAGCATAAAGAATAAACTAACTATTAAATTAAAATAAGATAGAGCACATTTTAAATTACCTACATAAATAAACACAGTGGTGACAACCCAATATATTTGATAATCTAAGAAAAATTCAAAAGTTTTTTAATATCGTTTTAAATAAGCTTGTGATTCTTTTTTTTTTTAAGGGAAGCTTGTGATTCTTCTATATATTTTAAAATCTTTTTAAATTTTTAAAAATTACTTTTTGGAAATTATGTGTATATTAATCACAATTTAAATATAATAAATTAAATATGAATTCTATTTTTCATGGTTCAAATGTGAAATATGAGATTTTTTTATAATCATGATTTAAACAAGTTAAATCTCGGGTCATGTATATTAGTCCCTCTGACTTTGCTTTTAAACAGTGATTTTTTAAAAATAATTCATCTATAAAATTAATTTTATAATGGTCATTTTGTTTCCACTCATCAAGTTCATGATGTGGCAAAAATAAACTTATAAATTTATTGACCAAAGAGTATAAACAAAAACAATATAGTTTGAAAAAAAAATATCATCAATATCGTTTTAAGCATTGATGAATTTTCTGAGTTTCACACTCTAATACTAATAAAGAATTGTGAGACATCTTTTAAGTTATCCATGAGGATATTACTAAGATAAAAATGATTAAGATGAACACATTAATCCATGACCATTTTAGTCAATCTTGTTGACTTTGATATAGAAAATAAGTTTTTGGGGATATATGACCATCCTTCGTCTGGATAAATATGATACCAAAGTCCAATCCATCTCAAGCCCACTATACTCGATACAATATA